TCTAAGCCAGGGGTGAAATGCTGGTTTCTTCCTTTACTCCAGCAGTATGATGGTTATCATTCACTAAATGGTATCATTCAATGTTTGTCATTCAATAAAAATCTATAATCCACTAGGATGAACTTTATTATGGATGCACTTTATTCACTCATTTAGTTAATTTACTGAATGCTCACCGGGTCCTGAACAGTGTCTCATGTGCCTAAAAATCTTTTGGTCTAGAGTGGGAACAGACAAATTAGGGTGGGCTACCAATGTGATGTGATAACAAGTATCCATCAGTAGGGGTTACACAGGGCTCTGCAGCACTCAGAACCCCAAAACCTCACAAGACCTCGGATCGCCCCAGGTTGCTTCTCCAATACCTTCTACCAAGCCCAGCACTGACTCCACCTCCCCTGTCTCATTTGCTCCATGTGCTTTCTTCTGGCTCCTTTTCTTCCAGTGCCCAGGCTCCTGCTCTGCATGGGAGCCCCTCCCCCACTTTTCACAAGCCCTCATTCTTCATCTCCACTTAAATGTCTTCTCCTCAGACAGGCTGTGTGCCATCCGCTGGCTTTTTGCCCCCAGTTTTCTTAGCGCTAGCACCCTCATTGCTTCTTTTTACAGCATACCACTACATACTTGTTTATCACCAGCTTGAAACCAAATGCATACTTTGTTGTGTCCATCACTGTTCACACGATGCCCTGAATTTATGGAATGGGGCAAGGGCTCCCTAGAGCATGTGTTCAATTAGATGTCAGTCCAGGAAGCTGATAGATATTGAGTTGAATCTCATTGGAGGAGTAAGAGTTCATCAGGGGGAACAAAGAGAAATTAGTGATTAGATACCACAATTTGGGTACAAGCATGTAAATTTGGGACACATTCAGATTTGGGTTGAAATCCCAACCTTATTCCCTACCGGTTATAGGCATTAGAGTAAATTATTTCAATGTTATGGTCCATCAATTTGTGAAGCAGAGATAATAGCACCTAATTGTAGAGTGGTTGTCACAAGTAGACCAAAAGTATCCAATGAATAAGGCTAAGTAAAATAAACTAGCATTGTTCCAGGTATATTCGGATGTAAAAAGAAGAATCAAGTATTGAGTGCACTGAAAATCCTTCAGCCCAGTGGTTCTGCACGTCTCAGTCTAGGAGGGAGAGACAGTGGTCTGACCTGCTGCATTGGGCTGCTGGGAGGAAAATTGAATTGTTGCAAAGTCTTTGGAAGTACAGAGTGCCTACAGCAAGTTTTTGAAGGTCAGGGATTTGTAGCCTCCTTTCCACAATACCCAGAGCAAGTAAACATAACAGTAACTCCTGATATCAGGCCTTTGTCTAAGGACTTTACACAGAGCAGCTCATGTAATCTGAACAACTTTGGAACTATTACTTTCCTGGTTCCACCAATAAGGACACTGAGACACAGAGATGTCCAGAAAGCTGTTCTCAGGATCACAGAGCTGGTAGGTGACAGAGCTGAGATCTCAAGCCAAGCGGTGTGGTATCACAGTCTGCACTCCTAACCAGCACACTGTACTAACTGTGTGGACCAAGAAGCGCTGTGGAATGTGAATGGTACACACGTGAGTTCACACCCATACTCCACAACCTTCTGTCTGTGTGGCACTGGTCAAAGTTTTGAATTGTTCCAAGTTTCTGTTCAGTGATCTCTGTTTTGAAAGGGGCTGTGGCATTTCAGTAAGCCAGATCTCTAAGGTGCCAGACTTGTAGCTGATATTCAGTAGAAAGTGGCCAATGTGACCACTCACAGTATGCTAAAATCCACTTCCTGGTCTTGACGTGGTTGGGATTTTATAAGCCTGATGGTTTTTAATTGAGAAATATGCATTCATGACTGCTAATCAATATGCTCATTTGGCAGCCAGGTTCCAGATGAAATAAAGCTAAATGATGATGCAATTAGAATATACAAACAAATCTCCCACAGATGCCAAACACACTCGACTGCCTTCTCCATCCTAATCACGTGGCTCTGCTTGCTGCAATTCTGGAAGGCACTTTTCTTGGTGAATTGGCATCCAACCAAATAAATGGTGCTTCTTCTGTTCATTTGCTGTTGGCTTTACTTGCATTCTCCTTGGAGCCCAGTTTTCCTCTGCCCATGGGGAGGACAGCACATAGGCCCGACTCCCTGAGTGTGAAGGATGCTGCACACCCTACTGACAAACGCTATCATCTGACATTTTCTCTGTCATTTCTTTTATCATTGTCAGAACACTAGCTCGCAATTATTTTATTTATTTATTTTTTTTTTAATTTTTTTTTTTGACAGGCAGAGTGGACAGTGAGAGAGAGAGATAGAGAGAGAAAGGTCTTCCTTTGCCGTTGGTTCACCCTCCAATGGCCGCCGCTGCAGCCGGCGCACCGCGCTGATCCGATGGCAGGAGCCAGGAGCCAGGTGCTTTTCCTGGTCTCCCATGGGGTGCAGGGCCCAAGCACCTGGGCCATCCTCCACTGCACTCCCTGGCCATAGCAGAGAGCTAGCCTGGAAGAGGGGCAACCGGGACAGAATCCGGCGCCCCAACCGGGACTAGAACCCGGTGTGCCGGCGCCACAAGGTGGAGGATTAGCCTATTGAGCCACGGCGCCGGCCCTATTTATTTATTTTTTTGACAGGCAGAGTTAGACAGTGAGAGAGAGAAAGGTCTTCCTTCCGTTGGTTCACCCCCAAATGGCCGCTATGGCTGGCGTGCTGTGCCGATCCGAAGCCAGGAGCCAGGTGCTTCCTCCTGGTCTCCCATGTGGGTGCAGGGCCCAAGGACCTGGGCCATCCTCCACTGCCTTCCTGTGCCACAGCAGAGAGCTAGACTGGAAGAGGAGCAACTGGGACAGAATCCGATGCCCCAACTGGGACTAGAACCCAGAGTGCCAGCACCGCAGGTAGAAGAAGATTAGCCTAGGGAGCCGTGGAGCTGGCCAGCTGGCAATTTTAATGGGGAAACAGTTCAAGAGGCAGATTCCCAACAGTCTCTCACAAATCTTTTGCAAAAATATCCACGTCTTCTCCTTTATTGGAATCTGTGCGTGACTAAATGGCATGGCTGTCTTTGTGGTTTACCCCACAAACTCAGCTTCTCCAACTTTCTCTCTAGTCATCACACTTGCGGCTTAGTAACTAAAATGCATCCTAACTGCTTTAAGCACAGTGAGTGGGGTAAACTATAAACTCAGCCAAGATCTAGGTGTTCCTGGTTAAAATCTGCAGTTCCTACTTACTAGTGTTGTGACTCAGGGCAAGTAATGTTAGTCCCATTGCCTCTATCAGAGAGGATAATCACAGGTAATGTCTGATGTGATAGGCAAACTAAAAGATCTGTGTGAAGGTCTAATATTACCTACTAGCACATGAGAAGTTCAGAATACATACTACTTATCATGATCATCATCAACAATAACCTAAATTTTCAACTGAAAATCAGAACTGAGAGTGATTGGAGTCCATTAACCTTTTTGTGTTGTATGTTTGGGATAGTTGAAAAACTGTAGAAGTTAGACACAGAGACTTGGAATCCAATGTTGTCTCTGCTACTCCTCTGAGACCTTGAGTACATTACTCAACCCCTTTGAGCTTCAGTTTTTTTTTTCTTTATAGGCTCTTTGTGGACTGTTCAGAAGTATGCATGTCTTATGGAAATTTGAAATTGTAGCCTTAGCCAAAACAAGGGAATTTGCTGTTAGAGTCCGAAACCATTATGTATCCATGAAGTGCTCAGCATATGCATGATCTTAGACAGTTGCAAAGTAATAGGACTGAGAAGCTGGGAAGGGCCTTTTAGCATCGTCTCATCTACTACATTCACTATACAGAGGAAAATACCCAAGTTTCAGTGAAATTCAGTGACTCCTTTGAGATGACACAGCCAGTGAAAGACTAGGCCCAAAGGAGATCCTAAATGTTCTGCACTGATCAATGATCTTGTCTGTCAAGGCAAAAGAGAACAGAGTACATGAAAGAGTAAACTCAGATTAAAAATAGATGTTGAAGGAGAGAAAAAGAAAGGGAAAGAAGAAAGGAGGGAGGAAGGGGGAAGGGAAAATTGAACAGAGTGTGTGGAATCAGCTGGAGGACATCGCAGCCCTTTGGCATGGGGTTTGGTTAAGCCAGCTTGTGGGGTGATAAAGAGAACAAACAGGAGGGGAGACAGCATGGACTCAAATCCCAGCTCCTCCACGCAGGAGCTATACGATCCTCGCTTCTCCATCCCTGGGTGTCCTGATATCACCTGCTCTGTGTGGTTGTGGTGAAGGCGGAAGAGATGATTGGTATACAATTATCAGCACATAGCAGATTATTAATAGACAGGTCTAGCATGTAGAAGACCTGTTTAGTTGTTGCTGTGTTTAAATATGAAGGTAACTATCATCTCTTCCCCCAACTCACCCCTGCTTTTAAGGTAGTTGTTTGAAGTCCTAGAGATGGTTCATGTTTTCTCAGTTAAACTCTATGGAGCTAACACTGTGGTAAGATGTTGGAAGTTATCATGGGAGACTCAAAGGGCTGAGGGTGGGGCCCGTGCAGGAAGCCAACATGAGCATGTAAGCAGTGCCTGCTCTGTGTAGGGCATGGCGGGAAAAGCAGTGCATATCTCCTCTTATTTAGTCCTCATGCTGGTCTAGAGAGGACAGACATCATTGCCCCCATTTGATACATGAGACAAATGTAATCCTGAGCAGCTAAATGATTGAACCAGGTTGCTTCTAACATAAGAGCCTCTCTTCCTCTCTTTCATGATACAGTCCCTTCCCAGCTGGATGTAGCACACTGGACATGGGTCTATTTCCAAGGTAACCAGCCTATATTCCCAGGCATCTTTAGGAGAAAGACTGGAGAAAAATGTCTTTTCCTGATTTTCTTAGTTTTCAGTCAAACTACTGTGAAGAGTTCTTGTTCCTTTCCTGCCCATTACATTTTGTGAACTTCAGATCTGCAGGCTTAAAAGCAGACATTCCTAGGGTTTATGTGCTTTTCTGTGTTTTCTCATTCTCAGGATAAGCACTCTTGGTGCTCACAAGACAGCTGAGTAAAGTCGTCCTGCCTGGCCATTGATGTGCATGTCTAAGGTAAAATGTCTATCTATATAAATTCAAATTTTCTTATTTTTCCATGCTCAAGTGTTTGTGGCTTGTAGGAACATGTTGGTGGGCAAGGTGGGAGGGTAAGAGCAATGCCAGGAGTCCATGCCCTTTTCACTTTTGTCTTGAGAAAAATCCTGTGGATTAGAAAGTGGCATTCTCAGCAGGTCTCTGACAACAGGCTCTGTCAAAGTTGGCAGAGTGACAGCATTAAATGTGCCAATCTCTTTGGCTGGAGTAGATTGTTTTTCTTCCATGGGAAGCATTTTCTTAATCTAAGGCAGAAAATACTGATATTTATGCTCTTTCGGAAGTATTCCTTTGTGAAAATCAAATAATGTCAGAATTTTATTTTCCAGAAAAAAATAAGTTAATGGATATAATTTTGCCATTTTAAAACCTTTTTACCCCTAGTTTTCTCTTGAGACTTAGGACTGGCTCTTATTTGCCTTCCCTGTATACCTGCCAATGACCCAATTAATGAAAAAGAATGTAAATGGAAAAACTCAGAATCAGTCACCTCACTTAAGTCATGATTAATTTTTTTATAGATTTGAACACTTTGCTCTGGTTTTTGGTGCATTTGTACACAGGAATATAGTATTCTCTGCTCATAAAATCACACTTAGTTTAGATATTGGTATTAATTGCATCCTTCATTTTGTGGCTGTGCAACAATCATGGTGTTCTATGACTTCCAGGTGTTCTGCGTGTGGATGGTGTGCAGAACCCCCATCCAGGGTCCTAGTTTCCATATGCAATTAAACATATGGAAATACTATCTGTTGCTGCTGATTATATTCCCTGGAAGCTCTTTCTAAAGCACTTCATTAGGAGTTCTCACACAAATGGGGAGAGCATTTAGCATGATGTTTAAGACCTGCATCCTATATCCAAGTGCCTGGGTGTGAGTCCTAGGTGTGCTTGCAGTTCCAGCTTTCTGCTGATGTCCACCCTTGGAGGCAGCAGGTGATGGTTCAAGAGGTTGCATCCATGCAACTCATATGGAAGTCCTAGTTGAATTTCTGGCTGCTGGCTTTGGCCTGGCCCAGGCCAAGCTGTTGTGGGCATTTGAGGAGTGAACTAGCAAATCTCTTTCTTTCTCTCTCTCTCTTCTGGCCTGTCTCTCTCTGTCTCTTAGCTTTCATAAATAAAAGTTAAATACATAAATATTTGAGGAAGAAAAACCCTCTGAGTTTGCACACAAAATGAGTTATAGTGCTCAAGTTACCATGTGGAGAATTGAAGCTTGCAATGTGATAAGCTATAGATCACCCAAGCATGCTGAGACACGTGGTAAATTCAGGTCAATGTAAGCTTGAAGGATTCTCTGGCAACTGCTTTCCCTTCTGGGGAAACTATCTTCCATGGAGGGCAAATGGATGACATAATACTGCTCTTACTATACCTGGAGCCAGACCACATGATGACCAGTGATGACCGGTTGACTAGGTATAGAAAAGGAACTGGAGAGTTGTTCAGGATATTTAATGAACATCTGTCATGTGCCATAGAAATATGGTCTGGGAAAGGATAAGGCCTCAGAGCTGACTTTCTTAATCCAAAGATCTGATTTGGGAGAGGAAGGAACCAATAGGTGAACCATGTCAAGAAGCCTCTGAATTAATGGGTTTTGGTGAGAGTTCTTCACCACTGAGATCCGGACAATTAGGTCATGACTGAATTCATAGATTTAGTTTGCCTAGCAGGCTAAAGCCAGAAATCAGGTTTTCAAAGAGAAATTTTATCTGAGTAGGCAAATCATAGAACTCCAAGCCAAAGTCTTTGAGACTTGCCCAAGTGTTAATAAGCAACATAAAGGCCAAATATCAACTCCAGTTCTGAAAGGCAAAATGAAAAATTCTCTTAAGAAGACAAAAAGATGAGACAGAGCCAAAGATCAGAAATAAAATCTTTATGGAAGATGAGCTTTATTTACCATGAGCTAGACATTGTCTACAAACATATTCACTTACATCAATGGAATTAGAACCACTGTCATCCTCATCTTTAGAAATGAAGAAAATTGAGACTCAGGGAGCTCAAGTAGCTTTCCCAGTTTGTACAAGGAGGAAACTATCGAAACAGGGTTATAACTCAGGTAACATGGCTCTAGAACCCATTTCCCAATGACCACACTACATTGCCTCTGTCATTTCAAATGAACTGAAGTGCATCTGGCCGTGAACAAAAGAGAAGATTCCAGGGTGATTCACCCAAAGAAAATCAGATGTCTAGTTTTCCTATGTGGTCCTGGTCCTGTGTGTGTGGTGAGTGAGTGTCAGGCAGGCTGAAACTCCCTACTGTAGAGCAAAGAGCGCTAGGTTCATGGTTAGGAATTCCCCAGCACTGACCTGCTGCAGTTGAGGGGTTAGCCCAGTTCTGAGTGACTGCGGTTGCACTGTCTGAAGAGCCCGTCCTCGTTGGCACTTTCTGTCATGGGAATATCTGCAGGTGGGATGTCTCGGCAATCATCCCCAGCAGACACACTCAGGGAGAGCGCAGCTGCATCTGGTTCCCCAACACCACCATCAGGGGATTCACCTGCTCCCGTGGAGGCCAGCCCTGAGGTCGAAGTGCTGACAGACAGAAGCCACCGTTCAGCCACCTCCAAGCAGGCACCAGGTGTCTTCAACCTTCAGTTGCCATTTCCTGGCCTTGCCTGTGCACAGGGTTCATCTTATGAAAGAGAAAGCCTCACAAATCTTTGTCTCTGGCTCAGCTCCCAAGAGACCAACCAGCCCCTGAAACACAACTCTTGCCCTATTGGGAAAAAATAAATAAATAAAAACAAAATAAAACAAATCAAAGAAAAAAAACCACTTTTTTTGCAGCTTACTAGTGAAACTCACAAATAAGCCTTGAGAAATAAGACCAATTTGCTACTCCCTTCCTCCAAGCAAACTTTTATAAATAAGTGTCCCCTACTCTCCCACATCACCACTCTTCCCGCCCCCAGCATTCTATCACAGAATTGTCAAGAAAGCAGTGGCTGGCAGGTCGTGTCATTGCTTCCGGTCCCGTTGGTCACATTGTGTAACATCTTCACTCCTAACCTAATCCGATGGATGCAGCTTGACAGGGCGTAACAGGGATGTGGTCCAGATTCCCTGGAGCTGGTTACAGACCTTGCCTCCCTGCTGGCTTCGGAGGATGGCACAACATTCAGAGCACTTCAGGATGTATTCCTTGGTTAAATAGATGTAAAAAGGGGCTGGTGTTTGTGGCACAGAGGATTAAGGCACTACATGCAATACCGGCATCCTATATCAGAGAGCTCATTCCAGTCCCAACTGCTCTGCTTCTGATCCAGGTTCCTGTTAATACACTTGGAAGGCCATGGAGATGGGCTGAATGCCTGGACTCTGACTATCCAGGTGGGAGACCAAGATGGACTGCCTGGGTCCTGGCTTCCACCTGGATGAGACCTTGTCATTGCAGCCATTTGAAGAGCAAACCAGCAAATTGAAAGATATCACTCTTTCCATCTCTCCCTCTTGCCATGTCACTCTTTCAAATCAATTAATTAACTAAAAATAAAATAGGCCAGAGCCATGGCTCACTTGGCTGATCCTCCGCCTGCAGCGCCGGCACCCCGGGTTCTAGTCCCGGTTGGAATGAGGAGTGAAACTGGGACTTCGGATGTTGTATTTCTCTTCGTTTTGAACCCAGGTATTTTAGAATGTAGAAGGGAGGTGTGAGTGATATGCTGCCTCGCTCTGTAGGCTGGAGGTGGGCGATGCCATTTCCAGCTGATAGAACCTCAGGTTCAAAGTGCGGTTTGCTTTCCAGTGTCTCCCTGATGTGACCTTGGGAGATGCTGGTGGTTTGTCCTCATGATGTTCATAAATACTCAGGTCAGGCAGTCACACCAGACCATCTGCTTTTCCCTCCCTCTCTGAGAGCAGACTGATGGAGAACATGGAACCCAAGGATGAGAGCTGGAATGTTGCATGTACCACAGAGGAAAAGGTAGAATGGAGGTGACGGAAGGGCCTGAGGGATTTCTGACTCTGCAATCTGGCCTTTGCATTTGAACTGCACACTGGGCTGGCTGAGCTGGAGAGGGGCCATCAGGCTCGCAGGAATGGAGAGCTGGTTATTGAAGGACTCGCAGTTCCCTTTCCTTCTTGGATAGGACCTTGGTTTTTTAGATTGGTGGAGACACTGGCGTCATTCTTCCTGGGATTTGTGGAGAACTCTGGAGAAGAGAGGCGTACCTCAAGTGCATGTGGATTTGTGGCTTAAACGCAGTTTCCGTGAAATGAAAACACTACAGCTCACATTATAAGGTTGTTCAAGGGTGAAATGTATCCACATAGCATTCTTTCACCCCAGTTTGAGGGATTAACCTAGCGTGATCCTCGGGAGGTCAGTCTGTCTGCTCCTCTGTGAAGGCCAGGTGCGTGAGGGATGGCAGTTCTGTCCCAGTGCCAACAGGCTGCATAATGCAGTCTACTGAAAAGTGAATTCCAGTGTGTGCAGGACTCCCCAGGGAGCTTATTAAAATGTAGACTCTTATTTAGTAGGTCTCATGGAGGGCCTGAGGTTCTGCATTTTTAACCAGCTCCCAAGAAAAATGGATGTTGGCTGATCCACGGATCACACTTCAGTAGCAAACACCTACAGACACAGGTAATACTGCTGGACAAGGAGAAATGGCCTTGCCTGGGAAACTGGTGGGTTAAAGGAATAGTGTCCAAGGTTATATACAGATCAGTCAGGTGTAAGGTAGACAAACTCTGGCAAAGGAAATCCCCTCTCTACGTGTGAAGCATTGTGATCAATACCAAGCTTGAGCTAGCCTGGAAAAATAGGAGGACTTGTGCAATTATCCCCATGGGTGAAAGTTGAATGGCTCCCCACTGCTCTTCACCAAACTGCATTCCTCAGCATAACCATTGCGCCCCTCCTGACCTGCCTCAAGCTCCTGCCTGTGCTCTCTCTTGTCTGTGCAAGGGCTGCTGCTTCAGCGTGGAGTGCTCTCG